CTAATTAAGCCTCACAATATCCCTGAAGTTGATAATTATTCCTATTTTGCTGGCCATAGAACCTGAAGCCATAGATAAATTGTTCTCATGTGCTTTAATAATTACACACTTACTGAAAGGATTTTTATTCAAGTTTTCCATATAGCTCACCCACTTTCTTGGGTAGAGAAGCAGCAAGAGAAATTTCAACATAGTAATTTCCCCAAAAATATTATTATAGAACTTGAAAATAGGAGCTTATTGAAAATGCCTCCTCAGCCATAATTATAGCATCACTACTGGGATGCTAGAACTATATTTGAAGATACCAATAATTTAAAGAAACTGCGTCCAAACCATGCTCCTTTAAAATATCAGGATAACTTTGTGTCTCGCCATTATATGAACTAAACATCAGTGCTGCTTATTAGCTGGAAGGGAATCTGAAACAGGAGACATCTACCACTGTTCAACAGTTTTGCTAGATATATAATCAGAGGAAATTATCCATTACTCAATAATTTCATAGACTCCAGAGCACCTTTTGTAGACTCCAGGGCAGGGTGAAGAAGAATGCTCTTATATGAAACTATTTCTCTTCTAATCCTGTCTTTCTCAGACTAGGATAACTGGCTTCTAACTACTTAATATGGGTGTGCAATTTTGAATATACAATATCTCCATTCAGTTGTTTTCCTTTATGTTTTAATGCTAGATATATCAATAATTTCTCAATGGATACTTAATTGATGAAGCATTAGGCATGGTGCACTGTTGTAAACAGAATTGTGAAAAGCTTACTGACATTGAAAGCAGTTGTTGCAAGTTATGTCAAAATATATGGGGCTTGTTATAAAAATGCAGTATACTAATATTAATTAAAAACTAATGTAGATGAATGCAGTAATATCAGATTGTTCATTTGGTTCTTAGTTTTTTGGCAAACTGAAGCTATAATAAATTCCAAGAAACTGAAAGTTCAAGGCACTGGAAAGTACAAATTATTTACTTGACATCCATGAATGTACAATGGCTCCATTACAAGACATACAAAAGCAGTATTACTATATTTGCTTTTCATAGCCCACTTTTTCATAAACATGAATATTAAAAGAAACTAGTAACAAGAATGCCTCCTTGTCAAGTCTACATCAGACAGAATGGTAGGACAACCTCTACTTTTCACTCTAAAATGGTTTAAATTAGAAATCTGAGTAACTGAAAGAAACGAAAAATTACTTCTCTCATATAATCTAAATAAAAAAAAGATATTGCAATGAATAATTTGTTTCTTGATCTGAAGCAGCACTACTTCATCATTCAGATGATTAGTAACTGAACCCGCTTTCAAAGACTCACTTTTGTAATGCAGCTTGTATATTCTGCTACAAAGTATGTAATCACTAGCACACTAGGAGGTTTTTACAAGTTATAGAGGTAATTTACAACCTCTGATCAGAGGGGAAAAATCCCCTCCCTTTGTAAAGCACTTAATCTACAGATATAAATCACTGTAGATTCATAGACATTTAGGTCAGAAGGGACCATTATGATCATCTAGTCTGACCTCCTGCACAACGCAGGCCACAGAATTTCACACACCACTCCTGCAAAAAACCTCACACCTATATCTGTGCTATTGAAGTCCTCAAATTGTAGTTTAAAGACTACAAGGAGCAGAGAATCCTCCAGCAAGTGACCCATGCCCCATGCTACAGAGAAAGGCGAAAAACCTCCAGGGCCTCTTCCAATCTGCCCTGGAGGAAAATTCCTTCCCGACCCCAAATATGGCGATCAGCTAAACCCTGAGCATATGGGCAAGATTCATCAGCCAGACAGTACAGAAAATTCTTTCCTGGGTAACTCAGATCCCACCCCATCTAATATCCCATCACAGGCCATTGGGCCTATTTACCATGAATATTTAATTACCAAAACCATGTTATGCCATCACACCATCTCCTCCATATACTTATCGAGTTTAATCTTAAAGCCAGATAGATCTTTTGCCCACACTGCTTCCCTTGGAAGGCTATTCCAAAACTTCACTCCTCTGATGGTTAGAAACCTTCGTCTAATTTCTAGTCTAAAATTTCCTGGTGGCCAGTTTATATCCATTTGTTCTTGTGTCCACACTGGTACTGAGCTTAAATGATTCCTCTCCCTCTCCGGTATTTATCCCTCTGATATATTTATAGAGAGCAATCATATCTCCCCTCAACCTTCTTTTAGTTAGGCTAAACAAGCCACGCTCCTTGAGTCTCCTTTCCATTCCTCGGATCATCCTAGTAGCCCTTCTCTGGACCTGTTCCAGTTTGAATTCATCCTTCTTAAACATGGGAGACCAGAACTGCACACAGTATTCCAGGTGAGGTCTCATCAGTGCCTTGTATAACAATACTAAAACCTCCTTATCCCTACTGGAAATACCTCTCCTGATGCATCCCAAGACCGCATTAGCTTTTTTCACAGCCATATCACATTGGCGGCTCCTAGTCATCCTATGATCAACTAATACTCCAAGGTCCTTTTCCTCCTCCGTTACTTCTAACTGATGCGTCCCTAGCTTATAACTAAAATTCTTGTTATTAATCCCTAAATGCATGACCTTACACTTCTCACTATTAAATTTCATCCTATTACTATTACTCCAGTTTACAAGGTCATCCAGATCCTCCTGTAGGATATACCTGTCCTTCTCTAAATTGGCAATACCTCCCAGCTTTGTATCATCCGCAAACTTTATTAAGTGACATGTATAATTTTTAGAAGTTTAAACAAGTAGTAAGGAAGGGAGACCTAGTAAAAATAACTAGTCTCATATTTGCAAATCCTCTGTGGTAGAGAACAGTCAAACTATAACTACTCTCTCAAATGTAGGCAGGGTACTGGGTTAGAGGGTAGTGCTCCAGCGGGCCAACATGGGAATCTGAACTTTGGGGAGTCGGGGGAGGAAACTCTACTTAAATTTCCTCTGTTACTATGGAATGAACCAGTCTAAGTCAATGAATTTTGAACAGTTTTGAGTTTTGCCAAATACTGGAAAAATATACCTGACCTTAAAAGTCTGCATTAGCCCAAGGGAGCTTTGTTTCATGTCCCATGTGGAATACAACAGAATTACTTCAAGATCTACGTCCCCATTTCTGGATATGATGGAAGGCATCAGTTTTCTGCAATAATCAAAGAGCAAACCGAATCGAAGTGTCTGTCCTACATCAGCAAAAACAGAAAAGTTTGAAAAATGCATTGCTGCACTTTCTAGACCTTTTATATCTCTGCAAGTTTATATTAAGCTTGACTAAAGATATTCTCTTTCTGTCAAACCACACATGCAAAATTTGAAGTGAAAAGTTGTCTTTCACTGTCTTAAAGGTTAGGAGAAAACATCAAACTTCTAATGAAAAGTTGGTTACTAATTAGAGCTGCTTCCACCTCTCCATACTTTCATAAGGACAACTACCAGAATTAGTACCGAATATTCAATATATTACCTGCATGTAAGTCGTGTTTCATAGTAACACAGTAGAAAGTGAATTATTATCACAAAATGAAAGTGGCCTATCTTGAAACTGCATTATTCAGCAAGACATCATACTTTGTAAATTAGTTTATACCCACTCACTCTCATTAGGGCACCATATATTAGGCATTTGATTAGACCTGAAATCAGGTTCTCTTTTAGTAAAGTATATGCTTTGGAAGGACAAGACTTTTGATACCAGGCATGTCTATCAGTCTTTTTCAAATTGGGAACAAACAAGAGACTAAGTCCATGATTTGGCAAAGCACTTAAGCACATGCTGTGACATTCCAGGGTACAATCTAGACTAATGAGTAGGTGTGCCACCCTGGCCCTGCAACTTTGAGTGCCTTACAATGCTTTGCTGAAGTAGTTCCCTCCTGGGCTGCTCACAAACTGTCTTCCACAGCATGCAAGTCACACCCTGAGTGTTTGTGTGTAACTGCAGGCTGCCAGCCACACTTGGGTTAGGTTCTGGCTCTCACCAGCCTTAGTTATACTGCAGGGTGACCCCAAGACACCCCCAGTCTTAGATTTTCCCCAGACATGTATGTCCTGCACTGCCCAACCCCCTCTTCTGGTCAATACAAGTCCATTATTTCTTTAATAGAAATAATATGCACAAAAATGCCACCATAACTGGAGTTTCCCAAACACTTCAATTTTAACATACTGGATTAGATAAAACAATAAAACAAGTTCATTAACTACAAAGAGATAGTGAGTACAAGTAATGAGGCATAAAAGTAAGAAATGGTTACAGGAAAAATAAAAATAAAACACGAGTGTCTAACAAACTATGTTAAACTCAAAATATTCTCTCACCACATGTCTTCAGCAGTCTTGTTTTGCTTATTCTCCCCCACCATAGCAATTACGTTTACATCAATGCACTGCCCTTAGCAGTAAAGACATGAGCTTTATTTGGTCTGCTACATTTGTAATAACTGTTCAGAATGTAGAACAGGATAATTTTTTATGCTTTCTGTAGTTGACCAAAGTAAAAAATCAACTAGACTCTTTCCGTCTGAAAAGATTTTTCTCCCTTCCCACTGAGGAAGTGGACCTTAAATGCCAAGAAACTAAACATGCCACATTTTAAGATATTCTGACAATAAAAGGATGAATTAACACCCTTTAAATTGAGGTCTTTCACACTGTATGACCCAAACTTAACAGTACTCCATTTTGTTTCCATTTACAAAATCTATTCTTCCAAGCATCATTATGTTCCATGACTGAAATAGGTTAGGACAGCCATATGAACTTACATTTACGTCTAAGAGGCACATTTATAAACACAAGAAATGAATATAAAATATTGATTTTAGAGAATGTGATTCTGCAAACTTTACAAGAACATTTGCAATCTGCTTTAAAGAAGGAAAAAAAGGAGGGAAATTGTAGAAAATTTACCATGAACAAAATCATAGTGGTAAACTCTTACTAAACAGAAATATTACATGCTCCATATGTGTAACTCAAGTTTTCAACCTACCTATATTGTCTTTGGCAACAAGACCTTTGGAAAAGTCACTGGGTGTAGGTGAAGTTCTGCTGTCCCTCTTTGCTACATCAAGGTTGTTACAATATTCCCATCTCTTCTGTTGAAGTTCTTGAAGCCAGTATGTCATGTCCTGACGGGTAGCAGCCTACAAAAAAGAGACCAGAGTACTGAAAAACAAAGACTGATACACTTGTCAAGCATGAATATAATTTAACTTGTGTTGAAAGGAAGACAACAGAGGTACCAAGTAGAGCCCTATGCGGATACAAAATTTGTATCTGCATCCGATCCATAATCCGCAAACATGGTCTGCACATTTGCAGGACTCTAGTGCCAAGAGAGCAGAGGTGCCAATAACATTCAACTAAATATGATAATCTAAAAACGGCTTTATTGTAATTTTAGATAGATAGATACACACACACGTCACTAATAAGACAAATCGACCTTTAAAAACTAATCATGTATGCCTAGTTTCTCCACCTTTGCATCTCCATCTCCCCAAGTCTCAAGAAGCTGCTCCCATACTATAGCACAGCCCTGATGTGGTTGCTTCCTTGACAGCCTCCTGAACATTTAAGTTAGCCCAAGACACTATGAAGAATTCTTAATATACATGAATAAAGACTGCAGAAAAAACCAAGTCTCCATACCTACAATCAGCAAGAACCCGATTCTAAGTATTTGTAATGTGCTTGGCTGAAAGTGGACAAGAATATATACTGTTACAGTGCGTCCTTTAATATAATATATTTACATGTTCTGTTAAGTATCTATTGCTACATGAACTATTAACTCCTACAGCAAGAGTAAGTGTAACAAAACTGCAATGAAATAAATATTTAAGACATTTAATCTACAAATTTAAAACAGTTAAGTCCTCTGCTAATTAACAGAATGAGCAATGGAAATGTAAACATCTTTAAACTATGCAGTAAAACCCAAATCTAAATACATTTTTATCATATTTTACTTGAGAGCGTTTGTTGCCATTATTCTTATCAGATTGGTCTTCTCTGTTAAATCAATAAGGAAAAATGACTGGGTAGAACAGGGATCGGCAACCTTTGGCAAGTGGCCTGCCAGGGAAACCTGCTGGCGGGCTGGGACAGTTTGTTTACCTGCAGTGTCTGCAGGTTCGGCCGATTGCAGCTCCCAGTGGTTGTGGTTCGCCGTTCCAGGGCTGCAGGAAGAGCTGGAGCTGCGATCGGCCAAACCTGCAGATGCGATAGGTAAACAAACTGTCCCGGCCTGCCAACACTTTCCCTGGTGGGCCGCGTGCCAAAGGTTGCCGATCCCTGGGGTATAAGGAAGAGGATTATGGATCTGGTGACCAGATTTTACACAAATGACTCTCAATACTTCACATGCAGAATCAGATAGCTTAAATCTCCTGTCCTGGTGCCTTGTTAAACAAAACTCACAGAAGAGACGATACCAAAGGTTCACTTTTATTGGCTGCTGTGCAAGACAAACATCCTGCATGAGGTATTTCAAATTCCTTGTATCAGCAGAACCCAGTTTCACACATTCTGTTCTTTTTCACCCACTAGTTGTGGAGAAAAATTTGCATTATAAAATGAGATAGAAAATGACTGGTTTGCATAGTATCTGCCATGAATTGAAGAACAAAAGTGAAAAACAGAACACAAAGTAAACACTCATTTACCCATTCAGCTATCACTGGGAGTGACTGAGTCAGATCTCTAAATGTCTCTCCGTTTAGGTCCAATCTTTGACATCATCATAAGTGAAAATGGAAAATTTCCTGGCTGTAGAGTCCTTGAGAGATTTCTAAACCAAACACTGTTCTCCACATCTATATCAGAAGTTATCTCCTGCTCAATTTTTATCCAGTGGCAGTTTTATCCAGTTACTAATAAATTATAGAGCCCAGGTTACCTGGTAGATTAGAATTTCCCTTTAGGTCTCTCTATATGTAGACTTTGTCAACTATCATGTTATTGTCTTAAAGCAGAAGGCAACTGAGTATTTACAGGGCTATATATCTATACAGTGTTTAGAATTTAAAAAGCTGTTCTCTGTTTGTCACTCAGTAGCAGCTTCTAAGTCTCACTGCCTCAAACTTTTTTTTTTTAAAAGGTATATTTATTCACATCAGTGTTTCTGTTCATAATTTGCTCATAACCATTTTCATGCTATACTCCTCCTCCTCCTCCCCCATATTAGTTACCTAGGAAGCGATAGATTAAAAACAGCAACAGCTTAAACTCAAAGCCCTGGCTATATTTGATTTCCTTCTTCAACTGCACTCAGACATTCCCAGCTTCTTGGGATCCCACTCTTGTGCCTTAAGTCAGCAGGCAATTGTGCTTCTGCTGTAATTGCCTTAAGGTATAAAACTCATATCTTTGTCCCATTTTTAAAAACCAAACTCATCATTTTCCCATAAGACCTGTTAGTATCACCGCTGTGCCCCAAATTTATTAGCTCTCCTTCCCCCACCCAACCCCTCTCCATTTATATTTGTTGTGACCAGATTACTGGCATGTAAAATTAAAAAGTCCATAGAGGAGTTTTTAAACTAAGGGCTGGGGTTACCATACAACCGGATTTTCCCAGACACTGCCTCTTTTTTGAGCCTCCTTTCTTTGTCCGGGCAGATTTTTCAAATAACAGGAAATGTCCGGGGCTTTTGCAGAGCACACGAGCTGCAGTTCAGAAAGAACCCTGACTGGTCCACTTCCCAACTGGTCCCTCCCCTGAAAGCCACAGCTGTGGGATCCCACCCACCTAGGACCCAGCTCCCAGCCCTAGGGAGGGGGTCCTGGAGGGAGGCGCTGACTGATGGCTGTAGCTGCATCCTGGGCTTGTACCAACCACCCTGCAACTGTGACAGGAAGCAACAGTGCCCTCCACTTTCAGTGAGTATCCCTGCTGCAGGTACCCCCTCCAGAACTGTACCATCCGCCCTCACAAATATTCCCCCCTCCCACAGCAGTGTCCTTTCTTTGGAAACCTGAAATGTGATAACCCTAGGCTGGGGGAAAGCTGACAGGTGCGGAGGAGCATGCAGTTCAGACAGAAACATCCCTCAGGGCAAGATCTATTAATGGAGGATTCTCTATATCCTAGTAAGGAGAAGAGGATGGAAGATGATTAAGTACAGATAGGATCTAATGAGAAACAGCCAAATGAAAAAGAGTCCCATCCAATTACATCACATAATGGCAGACAGCTAAAAAGGTGTCAAGTTTTATAAGTGCTTATATATAAATGCTAGAAGACTAAATACTAAAATGGGTGAACTTGAGTGCCTGGTATTAAATGAGTATATTGATGTAATAGGTATCACAGAAACTTGGTGGAGTGATGATCGTTAGTGGGACATAGTAAAACCAGGGTACAAAATATATAGGAATGACAGAATAGGATGTGCAGGTGGGAAGTGGCACTATATGTGAAGGAAAGCACGTAATGCAGAGTCAAATGCAGTAAAAATCTAAATGAACCAAACTGTACCACAGCATCTCTATGGATAGAAATTCCATGCTTGAATAATAAAAAGATATCAGTAGGGATATACTACAAACCATCTGATCAGGATGCTGATGGTGAATGTGAAATACTCAGAGAGATTAGAGAGGCTATTAAAAAAAAAACCCTCAATAATAATGGGGGATTTCTCTATCCCCAAATTGACTGGGTACATGGCACCTCAGGACAGGATGCAGAGATAAAATTTCTTGACACCATAAATGACTGTTTCTTGGAGCAGCTAGGCCTGAAACCCACAAGACGACAGGCAATTCTTGATTTAGTCCTTAGTGGCGCACAGGATCTGCTCCAAGAGGTGAATATAGCTGAACCACTTGGTAATAGCGACCATAATATAATTTAACATCCTTGTTGGGGGGAACACACCAAAGAAGCCCACCATAGTAGCATTCAATTTTAGAAAGGGGAACTATGCAAAAATGAGGAATAGTTAAACAGAAATTAAAAGGTACAGACCAAAAGTGAAATGCCTGCAAGCTGCATGGAAACTTTTTAAAAACACCATAATGCAGACTCAAATTAAATGTATACCCCAAATTTAAAAAAAACATAGTAAGACCACCAAAAAAAAGTGCCACCGTGGCTAAACAATTAAATAAAAGAAGTGGTTAGAGGCAAAAAGGCATCCTTTAAAAATTAGAAGTTAAATCCTATTGAGGAAAATAGAAAGGAGCATATTTCAGCATGGTAGCTGTGTTAGTCTGTATCAGCAAAAAGAATGAGGAGAACTTGTGGCACCTTAGAGACTAACAAATTTATTCGTAGGCTAGCCCACGAAAGCTTATGTTCAAAATAAATTTGTTAGTCTTTAAGGTGCCACAAGTACTCCTTGTTTTTTTTAGAAAGGAGCATGAACTCTTGCAAGTCAAGTGTAAAAGTATAACTAGACAGGCCAAAAAAGAATTTGAAGAGCAACTAGCCAAAGACTCAAAAAGTAACAGCAAATTTTTTTTTAAGTATATCAGAAGTAGGAAGCCTGCTAAACAATCAGTGTGCCCACTGGACGACAGAGATGCTAAAGGAGCATCTCCAGGAAGATAAAGCCATTGTGGAGAAACTAAATTAATTCTTTGCATCGGTCTTCACTACAGAGGATGTGAGGGAGATTCCCATACCTGAGCCAATCTTTTTAGGTGACAAATCTGAGGAACTGTCCCAGACTGAGGTGTCATTAAAGGAGGTTTTGGAACAAATTGATAAGTTAAACCAGGGGTGGCCAACCTGAGCCTGAAAAGGAGCCAAAATTTACAAATGTACATTGCCAAAGAGCCACAGGAATACATCAGCAGCCCCCATCGGCTCCTCCCTGCCCTGCCACTCCCAGCACCTCCTGCCCGCTGGCAGCCCTGCCGATCAGCACCTCCCCTTCACTCCCCATGCCTCCTGCCTGCCACGACAGTGTACAGGAGGCTCTGGGATGGAGGGGGGAGGAGCAAGGGTGCAGCAAGCTCAGGGGAGGGGGTGGGAAGGGGTGAGTCCCTCGGAGTAAGGGGTGGAGTGTGGGCAGGGCCTGGGATTGAGCAGTGGAAAATTGGCACCTGTAGCTCCAGCCCCAGAGTCAGCACCCATGCAAGGAACCACATATTAACTTCTGAAGAGCCGCAGGCGGCTCTGGAGCCCCAGGTT